GATGTCACTCAAAGCTGCCTGACTGTTTCTGGCTGTCAACTGCCAGGAGCTGCTGCATCAAACCATTGGCTTATTCTGCCTCATCGTCCAAGCACGGAGTCTCTCTTCCTTTTTTAACCTCTCCCTCTAGCTTCAAAATGTAGTAGCAGCAGGTGAAGCTGTTCAGGCCATCAACAGCCTTTCTGTCTCCCTCTCATCCCACCTCCGCTCCCGCATTCTAGGTGGGGAGCCGCCTAAATTAGCCAGTGGGGGAGATGCTCAGGAGAGAGGCGTGTGTCCTAAGCTGCATCCTATGATGGGACTTTGGCACCTAGGCAGAAGGGAGACGTCTATTTCTGCTGGCGATCCACAGCCGGGAACCCCTGGATTCAGGTGTCTAAGCTGTTTCTTGCACAAAACACCTGGTGGGGTGGGGCAAGGGAGGACAACTGACAACCTTTAGCCCAGGGACTAGGACAGCGGTTCTCAAATGATGGGTCGCGACCCCGTTTTAATGGCGTCACCGGGCCAGTGTTAGACCCTGGACTGAAGCCGAAGCCTGAGGGCTTCTGCTCTGGGATGCAGGGCTCAGACTTCAGCCCGCCCTGCTCAGGGCAGTGGGGCTCAGGTTATGGCTTCAGGTCCCCTGCTGGGGCTCGGTCTACTGTCCTGCCGCCTGGAGGTGGGGGCGTGTCATGGCATAAGGGGGTTGTGGTGCACTGAAGTTTGAGAACCACTGAACTCAGGTATTCGCCCAGCACCAGTTCAAATCCTTCCTGTGCCTGATAGGAAGAAGGGATTTGAACTTGGGTCTCCCGCCTCTCAGAAAAAATGCTGAAATCACTGGACGATGGGATCTTCTGATGTAGGCTTCACTCAGTCTCTCCCATTGAAGCTTCTCTACTTAAAAGAAAACAGTCATTGGAGGAGGGACGGAAACATTGCTCTCCCACATCCGACATGAATGCCCTCCCCACTGGTATCTAGACTCATTCACCCTCACCTTTCCTGGCCCGGCGACTATTCCTTGTCATTCGTAGTAGCAAATAGTTCTCTTTAAGCCATTCGACAACATTTCGGGTGTTTGGTGTCGGTTGAAAGTATTCACCGAACTTGATACAAGTCCACAAATAGTTTCTGGTCAAATGAAACTGTATTTTCCAATGAATAAACTATTCAACCAAACAGTTTTCCCCCCAGCTACACTTGTCCTATTTGTTTACTGGGTGCTGGTTGCTTACTAAGCCCTCATGAAGGACAGTATCTGCTCTGAGGAGCCCATGACTTTAAGGTAGAGTCCTGCGTGCGACTCTTCGGTCACAGAGACCCCCCCTTGGGACTGTCACCTGATGTGCTGAATTTACCGCTGAGCAGTTTTTGGTTAAAGTCTGCAGCGTTGGGGGCGTGGCCCAGACCTGGGTGTGTGTTGCAGCAGGCTGGCATGTCTGGCTCAACAAGGCAGGGTTCTGGAGTCCCAAGCTGGCAGGGAAAACGAGCTCAGAGGTAAATTCAGTACATCGGGTGACAGTCCCAAGGGGATCTCTGTGACCGAACCCATCACACCCACTCCCGTCCTGCTTCCACTGTTATGGCAGCGAATCCACACTAGTCCCATGCAGGGCTCTAACTTAAGGCTTCTACAAATTAAAAGAACCTCCATTTCAGCTAATGTGCTATCTCTAGATCAACTGACTAAGCAGATGCAAATTAGATACATAAAAATAAGAACTAAATCATTGACCCCTCAGGCAGGTAATTAGAAATTAGTGGTTCAGGTACCCAAAGTCTCTCATATTCCTCCATGTGTCAGGTCAGCATCTTTGATCATCATGGATGGGGGAAAGGTCTGTCCCAGGTTCCCCAAACTCTCATCCCTACTGAATCTGAGTGTCCTGCCCTGGAACCTCCCAGGCTTTCCCCTTCTGGAGCGTGAGTATTGAGGAGAGTGCGTGGACTTCCTGCGCAAATCTAGAACCGGCCCACAAATCTGGGCTTTTCTAGGGATTCAGAGACACATAGGAATGTTGGGCTGGCACAGACCTTGAGAGGTTATCTAGTTGAGCCCCGTGCTCTGAGGACAGGGGATGGATCACTTGATGATCACCGGTTCTGTTCACGCCCTCTGAAGCACCTGGCTTTGGCCACTGTTGGAAGACAGGATCCTGGGCTAGATGCACCTTTGATCTGACCCAGTGTGGCCGTTCTTATCTTCTTAAGTATACTTGGACCATCCCTGACGGGTATTTATCTAACCTATTATTTAAAACCTCCAATGATGGGGATTCCACAGTCTCCCTCAGAAGCCTGTGCCAGTACTGAACTGTTCTCTATTGGAAAAGGTTCTGAAAAGGGCAACAAAAATGATTAGGGGTATGAAATGGCTCCCGTATGAGGAGAGATTAATAAGACTGGGACTTTTCAGCTTGGACAAGAGACAACTAAGGTGGATATGATAGAGGTCTATAAAATCATGACTGGTGTGGAGAAAGTAAACAAGGAAGTGTTATTTACTCCTCATAACACAAGAACTAGGGGGTCACCAAATGAAATTAATAGGCGACAGGTTTAAAACAAACAAAAGGAAGTATTTCTTCACACGACGCACAGTCAACCCATGGAACTCTTTGCCAGAGGATGTTGTGAAGGCCAAGATTATAACAGGGTTCAAAAAAGAACTACATAAGTTCATTGAGGACAGGTCCCTCAATGGCTATTGGCCAGGATGGGCAGCGATGGTGTCCCTAGTCTCTGTTTGCCAGAAACTGGGAATGGGCAACAGGGGATGGATCACTTGATGATTCCCTGTTCTGTTCATTCCCTCTAGGCCACCTGGTATTGGCCATTGTCGGAAGACAGCACACTGGGCTAGATGGACCTTGGGTCTGACCCAGTATGGCCATTCTTATGTTCTTGTTCTTATCGTTATAAAGACTTTTCCTAATATCTAACCAAAACTTCCCTTGCTGCAGATTAAGCTGATTACTTATTCTCTGACCTTCAGTGGACATGGAGAACTGTTCATCACTGTCCTCTTTATAACAATCCTTAACATATTGGAAGACTGTTACCAGGTCCCCCCTCGGTCTTCTTTTCTCAAGACTAAACATGCCCAGTTTATTTTACCTTTCCTCATAGGTCAGGTTTTCTAAACCTCATATTTTTATTGCTCTCCTCTGGACTTTTTCCAGTTTGTCCACCATCTTTCTTCAAGTGTGGTGCCCAAAACTGGACAAAATATTCCAGCTGAGGGCTCACCAGTGTCAAGTAGAGTGGGACAATTACTTTGTGTCTTGCATACAACATTCCTGATAACACACGCCAGAATCATATTAGTCTTTTTCACAGCCACATCATTGGCTCATATTCAATTTGTGCTCCACTATAATCTCCAGATCCTTTTTAACAGTACGACCACCCAGCCAGTTATTCCCCATTTTGTAGTTGTGGATTTGATTTTTCCTTCCTAAGTGTAGCACTTTGCACTTTTCCTTACTGAATTTCATCTTGCTGATTTCAAACCAATTCTCCAACTTGCCAAAGTTGCTTTGAATTCTAATCCTGTCCTCCAAAGTGCTTGCAACCCCTCCTAGCTTGATGTTATATACAGATTTGATAAGCATACGCTTCACTCCATTATCCAAGTCATTAATGAAAATACTGAATAGTACAGGATCCAGGACTGACCCCTGTGGGACCCCACTTGATATGCCCTCTTAGTTTGACAGCAAAGCATTGATTACTACACTTTGGGTATGGTCTTTCAACTAGTTGTGCACCCAGCTGATAATAATTTCATCTAATCACAAGACATTCTCATAAGCAAACTAGGGAAATGTCAAAAGCTTTATTAAAATCAAGATAGACTTCAGTAAGGCATTTGATTTGGTACTGCATGTCATTGTGAATAAAAAATGACAATGATATCAAATTAACATGGCACACGTTAAATGGATTAAAACCTGGCTAACTGATAGATCTCGAAATGTAACTGTAAACAGGGAATTGTCATCAAGTGGATCTATTTCCAGTGTGGTCCTGCAGGGATCAGTTCTTGTCCCTACACTATTTAACATGTTTTTTCAATGTCCTAGAAGAAAACATAAAATCATCACTGGTAATGTTTGCCGGTGACACGCCAATTGAGGGGATTGGTGAATAACGAAGAGGCCAGGTCACTGATACAGAGCGATCTAGATCACTTGGTAAACTGGGTGCAAGCAAACAATGTGGGTTTTAATCCATCTAAATGTAAATATATACATCTAGGAGCAAAGAATGTAAGCCAAACTTAGAGGATGGGGGACTTTATCATTTGTAGAACAGATGACTAAGTAGATAGCGTATCCTGCCTGGCGATGGCTAATGATTATTCATCGTCATTTATAGTTTGTCTTCTCAAAGGGGAAGCTGGCTGGGGAGTCAGAGAGGCAGTCAGTTCTCTGCCCCAATCCACCTACGTTGTGAAGACAGAGAGGTTAAAGAAAAAAATGAGCCTTTGTGCTTGGAAGATGAGGAGAAATAATCCAGTTGTAACCACTTCAGAGAAGGAAAAATTATAGATGGATTAAAACATTTTACCTTTCTCCGTCTTCCCACCGGTTCTTGTGTCGTATTTCCCCTTTGCTGTTCCCCTTTATTTCCTTTCCCCCAAGCACAGAGAATGACTGCTGTCTGGATTCTCTATTTCAGCAGGTGAAGGTACAGTGAGTGAGATCAAGGAAGAGAATCCACAGCAGGAAAGTCCTGAGCAACAGGAACTGCATAGAATGTTATCGGAAAGATCCAAAGAGAATTTTTCCCAGAGTGCTGAACAGGGAAAAGTCTGCGAGAATCAGCACAAGTCAGAGAGGCACAAAGGGAAAGAAATGGGTAAAGCCATTAATTGTAGGAGAGGACTCAGTAATCCCAAGGAAACCACAGCCCAACAGAAAATCCAGACAGAAGAGAGAAAGTACACGTGCACTGAATGTTGGAAAAGCTTCAGTCGTAGTTCAAACCTTATTGCCCATCAGAGAATCCACACTGGAGAGAGACCCTTTAAATGTACAGAGTGCGGGAAAAGCTTCATTCAGAGAGTAAACCTCATTTCTCATCAGAGAATCCACACGGGGGAGAGACCCTATAAATGTACTGAGTGTGGGAAAAGCTTCAGTAAGAGATCGCACCTAAATACACACACGATAATCCACACGGGAGAGAGACCCTATAAATGTACCGAGTGTGGAAAAAGTTTCGGTCAGAGATCACAGCTTAATACGCACAAAATAATCCATGCAGGAGACACACCCGTGATAACCCATGCCAGAGAGAAACATTATACGTGCTTGGACTGTGGAGAAAACTTGAAGTGGAGTTCAGAACTTGTTACACATCAGAGACTCCACACAGGAGAGATCCCTTATAAATGCTTCGACTGTGGGAAGTGTTTCATGCGGAGTTCAACCCTTATCTTACACCAGAGAATCCACACAAGAGAGACCCCCTATCAGTGCCCTAACTGTGGGGAAAGATTCAGGTGGAGTACGCAGCTTGTGAAGCATCAGATGCTCCACACGGGAGAAAGACCCTATAAATGTCCCGACTGTGGGAAAAGCTATAGTGACAGCTCATCCCTTATTTCACATCAGCGAACCCACACAGGAGAGAAGCCCTATACCTGTGTGGACTGTGGGAAAAGTTTCAATCAAAACTCAACCCTGAACAGACACAAGAGGCTCCACACGGGAGAAAAACCCTATAAATGCACTGAGTGTGGGAAAAGTTTCAGTCAGCGATCAAACCTCAGTGTGCATCAGCGACTCCACACAGGAGAGAAACCCTATAAATGCCCTGACTGCGGGAAAAGCTTTAATCGGAGATCAAACCTTAGCGTGCACAAGAAACTCCATGCAGAAAAGAAACCTTGAATGGGGGAGATGCTACAACTGGTGCTCCGATTTATATTGGGCATCAGCAAATCCATACAGGGAAGATACCTCTTCAACATCCTGAGCATGGAAAATACTTCAAGCAGAGTTAATGGGCCTCTCTACCCTACAGAGCCTTGGCCGGGATAGCTCTGCTGGCAGTCACCTAGTGGATAAGCAGCGCAAGCCAACAGAGATCTTCTGCCAAAACAGCTAAACAGCCTCCCGGAAGGAGATTAGCTAAACCCACAGAAGCACTAGCTGTGTCTACACTCAGAGTTTTGCCAGCATGGCTGGGGGTGTGTAATATTTTTCCCCACACTCTTAGCCAACATAGCTATGCCGGCAAAACTCTGTAGTCTAGACAAAGCAGTTATTGGACAACAGGAGAGAGATTCTATCAGTGCCCTGACTAGGGCTGGCTACCGTGTTAAAAAAATAAAAAAATCTGTTTCCTCATTCCCACACACATCAGGGGCATTTGGCTCTCAGGGATCCAGAAGCCCATCGCTGGGGTGAGGACCCAGGAGCAGCCGAGCAGCAGCTGGTCAGTGACCCTCTGGCTCTGCCTGGACTAAGCAAACCCTAGGCAGAGGAGGAGAAGCCCCCATCAGCCCCTCCCTGCTGCAGCCCTGGCTGCTGAGCTGATGGGCCACAGGTGGGGGACGGGAGAGAGAGAAACTCCTCCAGATGCTCCCTCACCCAGGCTGAAGTTCCCCCCTCTCCATTTCCCACCCAGCCGGGATCCCCCTGCCATGGAGATGAGGAGAAGGTGTCAGGCCCCACCTTCACTCTAGACCCATGTCCCCACCCCCATCTTCCACCAGCCCTTGGGCTGGGCTCCCCCATTTCCCTCGAGCTGTTCCCTACAGGGCGAGTGTCCCTGAGGGGCCGATAACTCCTCATCTCCCCAAATCTACAAGGGTGCTGGGCTCTGGGGGATCAAAGGCTGAGACCAAGGGGGACAGGTTTTGGGAATAGAGCTGGAGTATTAAATATTGGAGCTGGGAAGCAGAGCGAGCTGAGTGCTGGGGCTATCGGGCATTTGGGGATCATGGAATAAGAGGAGGTGGAAGGGATGGGGTTAGGAAGATGATTTCTCCTATCATTCACATCCCTGCTCCCCCTGCAATGAAACATTGACAGGGCCTACTTTCCCTAGGACCCCTTGTAGGATCCCTAGAAAAGCCTAGAAGCCTAGGAATCCCCTCTCAGCTTCACCACCCTCAGCCTCTGAGTGTTCTCTTAGATTAGGAAGTGTGGACAGGGATAGCTAGCGCATTTCCTTCTGATCCTGGCCAAACTTTCACCCTGTTTTCTAATTCAGACCCACACGGAGCTCATTTAGCAGGGTGATTGTTAGTTACCGAGTTCCTGCTTCAGGGACACAGTGACTCATCCCCAGTTCTTCTTATCTTGCTTGGGGTCGTCCCAAAGACTTCTTTGTTTTTTTAATAAAACAGAATGGCATAACTAAACAGATTATAAATGGATTTGGGCAGGGATAGAAAAATATTTTGTGTTAGTCTCTGTGTTACTTGAGGACAACCTGGTGAAACAGGGATTCTTGCCTTTCCCCATGACCACTTCATTCCCCTCTTCCCAGTTTTACCTTAAGAACAGCCATACTGGGTCAGACCGATGGACCAGCTTGCCCAGTATCCTGTCTTCCGATAATGGCCAATGCCAGATGCTTCAGAGGGAATGAACAGAACGGGGAAATTATCGAATGATCTATCCCCTGTCATCCAGTCCCACCTGCTGGCCATCAGAGGCTTAGGAATACCTAGAACATGGAGTTGCATCCCTGTCCATGTTGGCTAATAGCCATTGATGGACCTATCCTTTGTATCTAATTCTTTTTTGAACCCAGTTATAGTTTTGGCCTTCACATCACTTGGCAATGAGTTCCACACGTTGACTGTGCGCTGTGTGAAGAAGTATTTCCTTTTGTTTGTTTTAAACCTGATGCCTATTAATTTCATCATTTCCCCCCTTAATTTCATGGATCTTCTGTCCATGCCATGGAGAATTTATCTTCTCTTTATCCTACCCCTGTAGTTCCCAAAGTGGCACACGGCACAGTGTTCTCAGGTCTCCGTGCTTAGGAATTGCGCTTTGATAACTTTGATCCTAAATCAGGAGGACTGGAGCCGAAAGCATCACAGACCCAGAGGGGGAATTCGAATAAATCCCAGACACAGTATGATCATTCTGAACCTAAATCCCAGTTTCCATCTGTTGGTAAAGAGGTTTGTGGGGTTTTGCCAGCCAAGCTCTGTTTGTTTGCAGGTGGGAAGGTTTCGTGGTGGTGGAGGTGTTTCTTTCCTTCATTCTTTCTTTTCCCCCTTTGTTACGATGAGGCTAAAATTTTGATACATAACACAAGGCACAAAGTGCAACAGGCAAAAGGCAGTTTACAGGAGAACTCAGGTAAAGCTTTTCTTCTGCATTTGAGTCAAATACAACATGTCCTGGATTTCACTTGATATGAACATGGAAGTGTACCATAACCCCCCATAGGGTGGCCTGTTCTCTCTTTCCTGTTGGTCATTTGGTCACAGACTTGGATATTAGTGTTGTATGACAGAATGTAGACCTGAATTACTGGGGGCTTCATGAGGCAACTGACCAGATACCAGTATAGCCCTTATTTTATTTTTTTGCCATTTTCCCAGGGGTGCTAGAACAATTTTGTACAGTCGGGGTGCTGAGAGCTATTGAACCAGCTTGTGAACCCTGTATATGATGGAAACCACTTCAAGCCAGCACCCCAAGTTCCAGCACCTAGGCATTTTCCCCAGCCTTTGCCCTGAGATGTTAGCGTCGTTTGAACAGTGATCACTATAAACAGCCACAAACACTGACGGGCGAATGTGAGAGTCGCTATCCAAAAAGCAGAGGCTAAAACGGGGCAGGAAGTTACGTCTGACCCCTAGCAGAGCTGTAAGATACAGTCAGATGGGGCAGCATGGGAGGGCAGACAGACGCAGCCGGAATCCCGCAGGGTTTGCTTTTGAGAGCCAGACAACTGAGGCGGCATTCGCTGCATGGGGGCCAGCGAGACAAGAAGGCGAATCTAAAGGGCTCTTAATGAGCCCTCCAAGGAAATGATGGGGGTGTCTCTTGATTCCCAGGAGGTTGAGCGGAGCTGAGAAGAAGGGGGGGAAGTCAGCAGGCCTGTCCTTTCCAAAATCCAGGGTGAGCCCCATCACTGAGGCCAGTGGCAACAAAGAGCTGTGACCCAAGTGCCTTACGTTTGAAAACAGACGCAGGTAGACAGTTACAAGTCTATACCCAGGGACTTGCCTCGACGTACCCAGACAGGACTGTTTCTCTGCGATCGCCATCCGGATGATACTTCACCAAAGGGGGCTGCGTGCGGGTGTTGTTATTGCTGGAGGTACATATGGGAAATGTTTTAAGGGTGTAGAATATTGCGTTCCCAAGCTCCTGGAGGTGAAGCTGGTCACTTGGGGCAGGGTGGCTCTTGGAGCCAACTCAGCCTAGAGTGAGAACAGTCGACATCTTTCAACCCAGCCCAGCCAAGTGTAGACAAGGTGTGGGCGTGGGCCTTTACAAAGCACAAAAGTGTCCAAGAAAAAGACCTTGAACAGGGGACAAACTGGAGTTAACGAAACATCCTGGGTCTCAAAAGAGACACAAGGTCTGACACCGCATGAAAGGGAAAGAAGGCACAAGACAGTGTCCATTCTGGAGGTGATAGTCTGCCAGCGTGTCTTCAAGTGGATTCCAGCTCTGGACGAGCATTATACAGACTGACTTTTGGGTGAGAAATGCCTTAGGAGATGGGAAAGAAACTTGTTAATAAGCATAGTCCTGAGATTGCATTTTATATATTCCCTTTATCGTAACCATACGTTTCCCATCCTTATACTTGCTTCGCTCTGAATCTTCATTGTAAAGTTCTAGCAAATAAACTTCTATTTGGTGACACTATAGACCCAACTAGGTGCTGTGTGCTAGGGAGAGTGTTGAACTGAGGTGAAGCTAGTGAACAGGAGAGGGCATTGCTTTGCAGCCAATCTGTGCGCATTGCGGGTGTCCAGAAGTTGAGTGTAATGAAGCGGGGTGGGCAGACAGCTTGGAGGGACCTGTGCCTTGGGGCCAGCACAGAACTCTGGGGGCTAACGATTTCTATAGATGCAGACATGGGTCATCTCCGCTTTGCCCCCAGGGAGCCTAAGGGCTGGGGTGTGCAGATCGCTGGCCTGCAGAGGGAAAATGGGGCACTTGAGTTGCCAGGGGTTTGGGGTGGGAATGTCGGAAGCTCTCCCTACCTTGCCTGTCCCCCCCCACACACACCACAAATGTCTCAGCTGGGATTGGAGATGCTGCTTCCTGGGTTTCCTGCTCGCAGAGAGTTTGCTTTTGTGACCAGAGCCTGGGCGTCTCTCGGATCCTCTCCCCTCTTCTGTAAGAGGTCACTGTTGCTGGTGCCTGCGGGAGCAGGGCTGGGCTGGGGTCGAAATGCACCGTGCTGAGCAAGGCTGGGCATTGGGTGGGGAGGGGGGCTTTGACTTCTGATTTCCCACTTGGGAATAATCAAGTTAAATGGAGTTTCTCAAACTCCCAGAGTCCTTTGTCTTGAATAATGGGTAAAAATGGCCTTCGGTGGATGCAGCAGCCAGGGGGGAAGCTCAATCTTGAGCACTGCAGAGGACAGATTCCAGACCTATCAGAGCTCTGGGGTTTCAGACCTTTCTATGGGTCTGGAGGGTTTTGGGGGGATGGGAGGGGGTTTCCCTTGTCTACAGGGGATTTTCTTTATAAAACACTCTTCTCCCAGCAAATAAGGGATATTGTTACTTAATACTTTGCATGGTAACTGGGTTTTTGGCCCCTTCTTTTTCCGTATCTTTAAAAAAAGGGTTATAAAAATCATTAAAGGTGGCTGTTGCCACGGAAACGACGCAGGCCGAGGTCTCTGTATTCCAAACCTTGTAAAGCTCTTCAGGTTGGCCCATGACAGGGGAGGGGTAGGGTGCTCACACGAACTGAGCATGCTCAGTAACCTCTGCTGAAGCCTCTGCCCCTTCACCCTGCCCTTACTTGGCATAAGATTCTGCTGACTGCTTTTTACAGGGGTTAAAAAGGGGCGAAGGGGGCAAATCGGAGGAGAGGCATGGCCAGGGTCAAGGGGTGGAAACTGGGGAAAGGGGAGGTGACGGCGGGAGGGGAACCCCAGCACCACTGCTGGTGCCCCTCAGCTTTCTCCCCTGCGGTCGCCACCACCATGGCTGGTCCTACAGCAACACTGGTGGCAAGCGTAAGAACGGCCAGACTGGGTCAGACCAAAGGACCAGCCAGCCCAGTATCCTGTCTTCTGACAGTGGGCAATGCCAGGTGCCCCAGAGGGAATGCACAGAACAGGTGCTCATCCAGTGATCCATCCCCTGTCGTCCACTTCAGCGGCTGGCCAAGGTAGGGACTCTTGCCGACACGACTGCCACCAGTGAGACCTCTGCTGCCAGCAGAAATGGCCAAGGAAAGCAAAAAGGGGAGGGGGGCCCGGTCAGGAAGGCCTCTTCTGTGGTGATTGCACGCAGCTGGGAACCGCCCTTCTCCCCCGCATCCCTTCCGCCGGCTCGGGGGGGGGGGGGTGCCAGGTGGCCACTGCGCTGCCTGCCACGTTATCACCATCTGCCATAGCCCCTCTGCCCACTGCAACCTCCTCTTCGTCCATCTGGGACTGTCAGGGCCCCTGCCCCATCTGCCCCAGGAAGCGCAGGGTCCCACATGTTTCTTTTTTTGCTGGCAAGTCACCGTCCAGTCACCCGTGATGGAGCACAGTGAGCAGGGGCGGCGGGTAATGGAGGCTGGGGGAGGCTAAGCCTCCCCAAACTGCATGCTGTGGAGGTGGGGGGGGAGCAGTGGTGAATTACCACACAGGCTCCCCGTGCCCATGCCCATGGGCCCCAACCAATTTGTGGGCCCCAGAAGTTCCCCCCCCCCCCGGCCACGGTCCCGGGGCTAGAGGCGCTCAGTTTCAGGGCCAGTGGGGGGAGACAGTGGAAACGAGCAAACGGGGGGTGGAGCCTTCGGAGGAAGAGGTGGAATGGGGTGAGGCCACTGGCGGGGCCGCGGGGGGAAGGTGCGGAACAAGGGATGGGCTCCGGCCTTGGAGGTCTGGCCATGGCCGAGAGCTCCACCATGGTCCCGGCCGGGGTTGAGAACTCAACCCTGGCGAGGGCCGAGCTCTCAGCCCCCGCTCCGTAGCCCCAACCGAACTCTCATCCCTTCTCCCCCACAGAGGTGGGGCGGAGAGCAGCGAGTGGGGACGTGGCCTTGGCTGGAAGAGGGAGGGCGTCAGCTGGAAGAGGCAGGGTAGAGGGTGGGGCAGGAAGCTAGCCTCCCCAAGGGGAAACTTCACCCGCCGCCCATGACAGTGAATAAGTGAGTCCCAAGGGGTCCTTGGTGTTGTCCCAGCAGGTATCTCTGCCAGGCAGGCTCGTCAGGGGAGGCTTGAGCTGTGTCCCGAGGGGCTGCCCCTTGGCCTGGCAAGAAGGAGAAATACCGCCCCACCCCCCCCGCCAGGTCAGCACCAACACTGCCACTGCTGATGACCAAACCCGCTTGGGTTTTCCCCCTGCTCTACCATCTGACAACCCCAATGGTGGCTACTACCCCATGGTGTGGGCAGCCCCCCTCCCCACCGCTGACTTACCAAGCCAGGTCCTCTGAGTAAGGGTGATGATCCAGAGCAAAGGAGAGGGGACGCCCCCCCCGCCTTGGAGTCCCTACCCATTGTCCCACCCCCATGCTTCCTTTAGCCCTCGTGTTGTCACACTCAAAGGCCGGGCCCCCTCCTTCATTCCCACCCTCTGAGACCCTCCATCAGGGCTGGGCATTGGGCTGGCATGGCATAAATTGCAGCTGCAACACCTCTCAACTGCTCTGGAGGGCGCATCCAGCAGGTGGCGCTGTCTGAGTGGCACAGTGACACATACTGGAACAATGCTTGGGGAGCACGTGGGTCAGAGCAGCAGGGGGGCAACTAGTGGAGCAGGGTAGGTGGGAGTGGGCAGGGCAGAGCCAGGGCCCTTTTCCCAACCATCACCCCGTGGGGCTGCCGTTTTTGGAAACCTAGTTGGACCCTGCTGCCACAGCCAAGAAGAAAGTAATGGTGTTCCAAACACGGTATTAGTCTACAAGCCCTCCATGAGCCAGGGTCGTCCGCCAAGGGACCTTTGTGTCGTGGCGGGATTTGTGCCTCCGCCGTACAAATAGCCCTCTTCGTTCGCCCAATCATTTGTCCCCGTGGCCACTCCACAGGCTGATTGGCGCTCGTGACTGGGAAATGACTGCCAGAAGGGATTTCCTCTGAGCCAAGAGATTCTCCTTACACACCTAGAAATGGCTCTGAAAACTCACTGAGTTGGCAGCTGTCTAATCTGCAGTCCATGGAGCTCAGGGCTGGGGAAATAGCCCTTCAGATGCCCTCTGTTCTGTATCCCTTAAAGGCCATTTTCACTCATTATCTGTGGCAAAAGACTCTGGGAGTTTGAGAATGTAAATTCTACTTTATTATTTAAAAGCAAGACATAAAAGCTAACCCCACCTTCCATCCAGGGCCCCACCTCAGCACGGTGCCCCATCCCAGCACATGGCTGCTCCCGCTTCCTGCGGGTGCTGGTGACAGAAGCTTTTTAAAGATGGTGGGAAAGTGCAGAGAATCCATGAGCGATGCTGAGCTTCAGTCCCAGAAACAAATGCCCCGGGAGCAGGAAATCCAGAGGGCTGTTTAACGGGAGTCAGAGAATGGGTTGAATTTACAGAAGCATCGGTATCTTCAATCCCAGCAGCTTTTCTCCCCCCTAGGGACACCCCTGGTGAGTGGGGCAGACAGAGTCTCCGTTGTCCCCACCCAAGACACTACGGTAGTTGGGGAAGGGGTGACCAGCGCTGTCAGGCTCCTTACTGCCCGCTGGCCTCAATGATGGGGACCAGTCTGGATTCAGGGCTGGCCTGGCCTGTTGCTGTCCCCGGCTTCTTTCTTGGCTCTGCTCAGCCTCATCCATTCAGGAATCCGGGGGCCACCCTGTCATTCCCTTTGGAGAACGTGACAACATCACATAAAACTTCTAAGATACTTCCTGTCTCTTTCTAGCCGCCGTTCAGCAAGTTCACAGTTCTCAGCCTCGGCCATCTGGCTCTCACGAGCAAACCCTACAGTTTCCCAGCTCTGTATCCCCCGCCTCCCATGCTCTCTCCCCCTCCTACCTGTCTCTCACCTCACCCCTGGGATCAGGTAGTTACTTCCTTTCCCCTTTTCAGGCTCCACCTCTCCGGGACTTTCACATGTGCCCATCAGTGTTTGTGTCAGCAGTTACTTGAAAAATCAGTTATTAATAACTAATGGATGAACTGTTCAACCAATATTAAAGTCTCATGGCAGAGATGGACGAAAAAGCAAAAATAATGAAGGGATATTGTGCCAACTAGTCATTTGTGTCATAAATTTCCACAATAAAACTATGCAAACCTGCTCCCCACCCCCTGCAGTCAAACAAAAACTAATATCCAAGTATGTGACAAAACAGCCTTCAGGAAAGAGAAAAAACAGAACACAGGGAGTTATAATGCACTTTGAGGCTTAGATAATGTGAAATTCTGGAGCAAGTTGCAGTTGACACAAAGTTAGGAGAACAGATTTCCCTGTGTTCTCTTCTAAACCAGCTAAACTTTGTTTTTTGATAAATAGATTCCTTACTAGGCATATTAATATATAAATTTGAGTAATTATTCATTTCAACTACAGTACAGAAACATATTTCCCACTCCCCTCAGAACCAGTGCAAAGGCTCGGGGAGAATCAGGGGTAACAGAGGAGCTGAGGGAGAGGGAAATAATCACTGGAAAGGAGCCTGGGAATGAACCTGGAGGGTTGTTGGGTGTGGGTGGGAGAAATATGGAACAGGGATTTCTAGGGAAGGGGGAGAGGGATTGTTAGGGAGTTGGGGAGCCTCCCCGATACAGACCCTGGCTGATCCCTAGCCTCTCCCATTCAGTCAGACACATCTTTCCCTGTCCCCATGTGTCCCTGCACCCCCACTCCCAATTTGCCTCTGGCTCAGTGTCACCCCACTAGCTCCTGTGCCCCCGATCTGTCCCCCCACTGGCCCTTCTGAACCCCAGCCTCTGAAAGCCCCCAGCAGTCCTGTGTGCCCCACGCTGTCTGTCCTCCCCATATCCTGTGTCTCCTCACCTAGCCCCACAGACAGGGTGCTGTAAGTGGCTGGCTGCTCCAGCCCATGAGCCAGCTGCCCTCTCTCCTAGTGCCACATCAGCCCCATGGTGGGCAAAAGGTGTAATTGCATGACTCTTCTCGTAACTTCCCTTCGCCTCCCCGTCACAATCAATTATTCTGAGGTGGGAAAAAAATCTGCGGGGGACATTAATTCTGCCCTTGCACAATGGCGTAGAATTCCCTCAGGAGTCGCTAATGCAGAGGACACTATAAATGAGATGGAGAAATTGGTCCAATAAAAGATATTACTTCACCCACCTTGTCTCCCTAATATCCTGGGACTGACTCGGCTACAACAACACTGCAGATATAAATGAGATGGTCAGCGTTGGCCTAGACTCAGAAAAGTGGTGGAGGCTTGGTCAGTGTTGGGGGGAAATGTGCCAGCTATCCCTGACCAAACTCTGGCCTCTTTTCTTTATGTTGGCAAACCCTCAGGGTATGTCTACATTGCAATCAGACACTGTGGCTGACCCATGTTAGCTGACTCAGGCTTCCGAGGCTCGGGGGGCTCTAAAATTGCAGTGTAAACTTTCAGGCTCAGGCTGGAGGCCAGGTGCTGGGACTCTACCCAGGTCTTCTCCTCCTCTGCCTGGGATTTGCTTAGACCAGGCAGAACCAGAGGGCCACTGACAGCTTACGTTCAGCTGCTGCTGGAGTCGCTGATGTCCAGGATAGCGTTTGCTCCAGCTGAAATCTTTTCCACGCTAAGGACATTTAAGAGGTCTCTTCCCTGTCTGAATTTGCCGTTGGCGAACGTGATTGAAGTCCAACTGAAGCATCACCCACATTCAAGGTTTCTCTCCTAAGTGGAGTCTCTGATGCGTAATTAGGTTCGAGCTCTGATTGAAACTTTTCCCGCAGTCTGAGCATTTATAGGGCTTTTCTCCCGTGTGAGTCCTCTTGTGTCTAATCAGAGTGGAGCTCTGGTTGAAGCTCTTCCCGCACTCGAGGCACTTATAGGGTTTCTCTCCCGTGTGGGTTCGCTGATGTGTAATAAGGGCTGAGCTATCACTGAAGCTTTTCCCACAATCCAAGCATTTATAGGGTCTGTCTCCTGTATGGATTATCTGGTGTCTAATAAGTTGGGTGCTCCAGTCAAAACTTTCCGCACACTCAAGGCATTTATAGGGCCTCTCTCGTGTGTGAATTCGCTGATGTGAAATAAGGTTTGAGCTCTGATTGAAGGTTTTTCCACACTTAATACATTTATATGGTTTCTCTCCCGTGTGCAGTCTCTGATGTGTGATAAGGTCTGAGCTCTGGTTGAAGTTTTCCCCACAGTCCAGACATTTATAGGGTCTCTCTCCCGTGTGAATTCTCTGATGGGAAACAAGGTTAGAGCTCTGATTGAAGCTTTTCCCGCACTCAATACATTTATATGGCCTCTCTCCTGTGTGGATTCTCCAATGGGAAACAAGGTTTGAGCTACGACTGAAGCTTTTCCCACATTTGGTGCATGTGTTTTTTCTCCCTTCTCTGTGGATTCTCCGCTGGGCTGTGGTTTCCTCGAGGTCCTTGCCACTTCCCTTACAATTAGTGGTTTTACCCACTTTCTTTCCTGGCTGGTTTCCCTGCTGCTTCTCTGACTTGCGTGGAATCCCCCAGGCTTTTCCCTGCTTATGACTCTGGAAAAAATTCCCTTTGGATCTTCCTGATAAAGTTTTGTGCAGTTCCACTTCCTCAGCGCCTTCCTGCTGAGAATTCTCCTCCTTGTTCTCACTCATCCTCCCATCACCTGCTGGAAACAGAGAGAGAGAGAGAAGGAGAGAATCAAAGACGGGTTATTCACTGTCCCATGGTGGAAGGAAAGAAAGGGGAAGATCAAAGAGGAGAAACACAGCACAGTAACTGTTGGGGAGATCGAGAAAGGTAAAATTCTATTAACCTCTGTAATTCCTGCTTTTCTAAAGTGGACATCTGATGCTCCATGATCAAGTGGGTTGTTCTTTCTCACCTTCCCGGCATGGAGACTACAAAGAGGCTCCAGGCATGCTTGGAAGACGAAGAGGAATAATCCAGTTATGGTGGATAGTGGCGTATCAGATACAAGATAGCAAGCTCATGCCAGCTGTCGGTGATATTGGGTGGGGAACCATGAATGAAAACCACCATGAGGATACATGCAAACATCATGCTGGGATGTATTAGCAGGAGAGTTGTAAGCAACACATGGGAAGTAATTCTTCCGCTCTACTCCGGGCTGATATGGCCTCAGCTGAAATAGTGTGTCCAGTTCACGGCGCTACACTTCAGGAAAGATGTGGACAAATTGGAGAAAGTCCAAAGGAGAGCAACAAAAATGATGAAAGGTCTAGAAAACATGACCTATGAGGGAAGATTGAAAAAACTGGGTTTGTTTAGTCTGGAGAAGAGAAGACTGAGAGAGGACATGATAACAGTTTTCAAATACATAAAAAGTTGTTACAAGGAGGAGGGAGAAAAATTGTTCTTGTTAACCTCTGAGGATAGGACAAGAAGCAATGGGCTTAAATTGGAACAAGGGAGGTTTAGGTTGGACATTAGGAAAAACTTCCTAACTGTCAGGGTGGTTAAGCACTGGAATAAATTGCCTAGGGAGGTTGTGGAATCTCCATCATTGGAGATTTTTAAGAGCAGGTTAGACAAACACCTGTCAGGGATGGTCTAAATACTTGCTGCGAGTGCTGGGGACTGAACTAGATGACATCTTGAGGTCCCTTCCAGTCCTATGATTCTATGATCTGGATCCAACCCTGACCTGGTGAGATGAGGCAGAATTGGAAATATTCACTCACAACACATTGGTGGGAGTCCCAGCTTCTCCCTTCACTTCACAGATGGTTTCTGCATCCATTTCATTGACAACTCACCGGCATGGGCGTTTCTTGGGATCTCCCTTTCCTTGGAGGCCTGAGCATCCAGGACCCATGGCTCTTCCCCTCATTCCAGGTAGGAGATCAGGTCAGGCTTGGGAAGGGGGAATCCTGCTCGGGGTGTGTGTGTGTGTAATCAGGCATGATCAGGGTGTGTCAAGCATTGGGAGAGGATTTGTTACAAAGAACATTCCTTGATTTTAACCTGACCCTGTGCTGGGCTGCGGGGGCCACAGACTCTGAACGGACGGGAACATGGTCACTGAGCCCCTGTGGGAGAGGCAGATGTTTGGAGGGGGGGCTTCCAGGATCTGTGCACTCTAGGGGATTTGCTGACATGGCTCTGCCGTTCAGCCCCCGCCTTTTCCTCAGTCTTCAGAGCCCTCCACAGACACGGAGCTAGTTCCAGGAAGGGAGGGGGACAGGGATTGTGTGTGGGAGTGAGAATTAATACAGGCAGGTCAATGCGCTGCTTCCGCCCCCTTGAAAGCTGTTGGGATGGGAATGGATAATCCTCTCCATTGTATTTCTGACTCCCTAACCCCATGGAAGAAGGCAAAGAGAGTAAAGTCTCTCTCACACTGGATCTGGGGACATTGGAGCCTTAAAATCTAAGGGACCACAAGCCACACTGACCACATCGCAGCCCCCCTCCCCTAGCTTCAAATAACCGAGGGCACAGGAATTCCTTATCCAGCGTGGTCACCGTCTCATAGTTCTCCTGCATGACGTCCCCGTAGAGGTCTCTCTGAGCAGGATCCAGCAGGGCCCCCTCCCTGGGTGAAACACACAGCCACCTCCTTGAAGGTCACCAGCATCTGACACAAGAGTCCCCCCCTCAGCACCTGCTGCCCCAGCTACATTCCCACTATTCCCGGGGGAGGAGAGCAGGAGCCTTCCTGTTTATCATACACCCACTAGCCAGAGGCTGGTAGAGGAGATGGAGATCCGGAGCAGGGTCCAGGGACAGGAATCCCAACACCCCCCTATTCCCAGCAGCTGGGGGTGAGGGGATGGGGCCTCTCCTCTGGGTGCCCCCTTCGTATTCCACAGCAGCCTCTGGCTGGTAGGTTCAGGCTGCAGCGCCAGGGATCTGTTAAGTTTTCCTTCCCAGCCCTGTCCAGGGGGGTTGTTTCCTATTCCAGAAATGGGCAAATTCCCACCTCCCGCCCAATGGGCCTCCTCTGAAAAAACAAGCTCCAGATTAACCACGGCCCAGCAGGGCAGGCCCAGCCTGTCCTCCCCCTGCGTAATTCCTGCTCCTCCCCCTCTAATAGAAACCAATCCTGCAGCTCCCTGAAAATGCCCTACCTGCATGGGCTCTGAGGCAGCCATTTCCCGGCACAGAAACAGGGCTGTTATTCCGCCACCTGGCAGAGCGAGAAGGGCAATCGACCCGGAGATTTCAAGAGGCTTTTCCATTCTCACGCCCTGATTTCCACACACCCCAGCTCTGTCCTTGCAGACATATATTCAGACTCTGGCAGGCTGGGAAAAACCCTGGGTCATTTTAAGACAGCGCAGCCCCAGCCCCTTCCAGCATGACTAACCCCATCGAGACACCTTTAAACTCTCCCAGGAACAGCGTCTCTGAGCCAGACACTAGAAAAGAGCAGCATCAAAGGAGCCAGTTTGAGGGGTTTCCCTTAGGACTGGCCCCAAGGGCAGCGCATCCCCACAGCAGCAGCTGGACACCCAGAGCATGGGGTTGCATCCCTGCCCATCCTGGCTAATAGCCATTGATGGACCTATCCTCCAGGAACTTATCTAGTTCTTTTTTGAACCCTGTTATAGTTTTGGCCTTCGCAACATCCTCTGGCAAGGAGTTCCACAGATTGACTGCGCATCGTGTGAAGAAATACTTCCTTTTGTTTGTTTGAAACCTGCTGCCTATTCAGTTCATTGCGTGACCCCTGTCCCCCACCACGGTTCTTGTGTGACGTGAAGGGGCCAATAACATTCCTCTATTCACTGTCTCCACACCAGGCATGATTTTATAGGCCTCTGTAGTTGTCTCTTTCCTAAACTGGACACTCTCAGTCTTTTTAACCCCTCCTCGTAGGCAAGCTCTGTGTAAGCTCGGAAGTGTGTCCCTTTTGAAGTCGGTCCAACAAAAGAGATCACCTCCCCCACCTTGTCTGTGTAACATAACAGACTCTCCCTTCTCCTTTGGGTCACCCTCTCTGCCCTCCCATCTCTCCTTCCCGCACCATTGTTGCCTTCTTTCTCACCCTCTCCCTTCCTGACAAGCAAACCCCTGAGAGACAAAGAACAACCCCCATCCCTTTATGGTCCCTCCACGCTGTTTTCCCAGCGTGATTCCCCCAATTTGGCCTTTCCCCCAGGTCTCCCCATCACCTGCAGGCTCCGGCTCAGGAGCTGGTGTCAGCAGAGCCTGGGGCTGGTTCCAGACACCGGAGAAAGTCCCCACCCGGGCTGGGCACAGAGGGGGGTTAATGCAGGTCTCTCCCTGCACAGACCCCGCTGGGGAGCAGCAGCGTCTCTGCCTCTCAGCTCATGGCTCACGCTGCAGCCGATGACCCAGGAAGCTCAGCGACATGCAGAGGAGGGAGAGAGGGACCAGAGCTCCCCTCCCGTTGGAATCACCAGAGCCCTCTGGCGTGTCTACACCAGTGGCTCTCAACCTTTCCAGACTACCACACCCCTTTCAGGAGGCTGCTTTGCCTCGCAAGTTTCACCTCACTTCAGAACCACTTGCTTCCACAATCCGACATGAAAATACAGACATGTCACGGCCACTAGTACTGATCAATTGTTGACTTTCTCGTTTATACCCTATAATTATAAAAGACATCAACTGAAATATAAATATTGTCCTTACATTTCAGTGTATAGTCTACAGAGCAGTATAAACAAGTCACTGTCTGTCTGAAATTTTAGTTTGTCCTGACTTCGCTAGTGCTTTTTATGTAGCCTGTTGTAACGCCTGGCAAATATCTAGATGTGTTGACATACCCCCCCGCAGGAGACATCTGTGTACCCCTAGGGGTACACGGGCAGTGTGTGAACCACCACCTCAGCGAGGCTAGCCCCCAGCCCCGCCCCTTCCACCTGAGGCCCTGCCCCTTCTTCCCCCCCCGCGGGAGCCCAGATCCCCCCCATCGCAGCTGCCGGCCCCCACCCCAGGCTAGCACCCCCAACCCCGGAGCCCCGGGAGGGCAGGCAGCGCGGCCCCAGCCCTGAAGCACTGAGCAGCGCAGCCCTAGCCCCAGAGCACCGGGCAGGCGGGCGGCATGGTCCCAGCCCCGGAGCGCCGGGCATGGCCCCAGCCCCCCCCCAAGCCCCAGAGCACTGGGAAGGCAGGCAGCGCGGCCCCAGCTCCGGAGTGCTGGGCGGTGCAGCCCCCAGAGGTAGCCCCACGGCACAGGTAAACTGGGAGCCAGAGCAGGAAGGGATCTGGGGGCAAAGCGTGGACAGAGCTAGGCCTGGCTCTTTGGAGAGGCTCAGCCTACCCCGGCCTGTGATACCCGCCACCCATGGGTACCCGCAGCAGGGGTAGACACGCCCTCGCTTTGATCTAACTAGCCGGGGGTGCTGGAACAATTTGTACAGTGGAGGGCTGCAAGCTATTGAACCAAACTGCAAACCCTGGATATGATGGAAACCACTTCAAGCCAGGGGGTGCGGCTGCCCCCTACTTCCAGCACCTATGTAGCTAGCTCCACTCCCAATCGTGGTGGCAATGTGGCAGTCAGGAAAGCAGCAGCGTCTAGCCTCTTAAGCACACTCCCAGTGATCAAAGAGGGTAGTGTGGACATGCACCGTGGCAGTAATTCATGAAGCAGCTGTAAGTCGACCTAACAGAGGTCGATTTATCTTTGTAGTGTAGACACAGCCTTAAAGAGGAGGATAAACTCTCCAGAGTTTGGACCAGAGGCTTCTGTGGTGAGAGGAATCAGGATCCTGATGGGGGGCAGGTTGATTTCAATTAGGAGCCATAACACCTTTGAGGAACAGGGCAGGAATCCTTTCAGTTCATCTCCTCACCCTCTCCAAACACAGAGGCTGAAACAACCTATCGTCCATCCCCACTCCAACTCTTTTATAATCTATGTCATTAGGTGTTATAAATATATTTATAAACAAAACCCACAAAGGAAAAAATCCACCCCACTGCTCTTCAGGAGAAGTGGGAGAGAGCTGAGACTCGCTGGGAGGGAGCCAATCTGTCCCTGGAGGGGAAACTTGGAAACTGAAACGAGGAACATGAGTGGCTCTGAATGAGTCGGGACTAGGCAAAGAAGCGGAGGCTTGGTCTGGGCCACTAGGAAACGACCTAGCTAACCCGGACCGCTTTTCCTAGTCTAGACAGACCCTCAGCGGTCGATGCTTCTAGGACTGAGGTGGGATTCCTAGATTCAGGGCTTTTCAAAGTCCCCCACCAGAGGCCCAGTGAAAATCAGTCCCTCTGAATTTGTGAATGTGGGCAGGGAAAAGGGGAAGAGGAGTTAATGATGGGAGACAGGACCTCCCTAACCGCACCTCACCCCTCTTATCCCATGATCCCCAAACATTCAATAACCCCAGCACCCAGTCCCCTTTCACGTCCATCTCCTTCAGCCCCAACCATTCGATCCTCTAGTTCCCTGCCCAAAACCCGTCCCTCCACAGTTGATCCCCCAGAGCCCAGCACCCTGGGGGATTCAGGGAGGGGAGGAGTTACCAGCCCCCAGGGACACTCGCCCTGCAGGGAACAGCTCCAGGTAAGTGGGAGAGCGCAGCCCAGGGGCTGGTGGAAGACAGGGGGTGGGGACAGGTGTCTAGGGTGAAAGTGGGGCTGGCCCAAGTGTCGTTCTCCTCATCTCCATGACAGGGGGATCCCGGCTGGAAGGGGAAGGGAGAGGGGGGAACTTCAGCCAGACAGAGGGAGCGTCTGGAGGAGTTTCTCTCTCTCCCTTCCCCCACCTGTGGCCCATCAGCTCAGCAGCCAGGGTTGCAGCAGGGAGGAGGGGCTGATCGGGGCTTCTCCTCCTCTGCCTGGGGTTTGCAGAGCCAGAGGGTCACTGACCAGCTGCTGCTCGGCTGCTGCTGTATCCTCACCCCAGCAATGGGCAGCCATATCCTTGGGAGCCAAACGCCCCTGATGTGTGTAGGAATGAGGAAATGTTGTTTTTTTTAAACTATGGCCAGCCCTAACCTGGGCACTGATACAATTTTCCCTCCAGTGTGGAGGAGTCTCTGATGTCCAATATGGCATTCGCGCCACCTGAAGGATTTTCCCTGCTAAGAGCATTTAAGAGGTCTCTTTACTATGCTGATCTGCTGATGCAGGATACAGTCAGAGCCCAGCTGATGCTTCTTCCACATTCGAGGGATTCTCTCCAGTGTGCAGCCTCTGGTGTCTAGCAAGGGTGGAGCTCCAGCTGAAACTTTTCCCACAGCCGGTGCATTCATAAGGTTTTTCTCCGGTGTGAATCCTCTGATGCACAGTAAGCGCTGAGCTCCAGTTGAAGCTTTTCCCACAGACAAGGCAGCTATACGGCCTCTCCCCCGTGTGGATTCGCCGGTGAGAAATCAGTTCCAAACTCTGACTGAATGTCTTCCAACAGTCGAGGCATTGGTAGGGCCTTTCTCCCGTGTGGATTCGCCGATGCGTAATAAGAACGGAGCTCTGAATGAAACTTTTCCCGCAGTCGGAGCATTTATAGGGTTTGTCTCCTGTGTGGATCCTCTGATGTTGAAAGAGGTTTGAGCTCTGATTGAAGCTTTTCCCGCAGTCCAAGCATTTATACGGTCTCTCGCCGGTGTGGGTTCTCTGATGTGCAAACAGGTTTGAGCTCCAGTTGAAACTTTTCCCACATTCAAAGCATTTATGGGGTTTTTCCCCTGTGTGGGTTCTCTGATTTTTAATAAGGCCGGAGTTCTCAACAAACCGCTCCCCACACTCAGTGCACGTATAGGATTTCTCTCCTGTGTGTTGTTTCTGATGCCTGCTAAGGTTTGAGCTGGATTTGAATGTTCTCCCACAGTCAAGGCATTTGTAAGGTCTCTCTCCCTTGTGGATTCTCTGGTGCACGTTAAGGTTTGATTTGTGAACGAAACTGGTGCCACAGACGAAGCATTTATGGGGTTTCTCCCCTGTGTGGATCCTCTGATGCACTACAAGGTGCTATCGGTAATCGAAGCTTTTCCCACAGTCGAGGCATTTTGAGGTTCGTCTCCTGTGTGGGTTCTCTGATGCACATTCAGGCTCGAGCTCTGAGTGAAGCTTTTCCCGCACTCGAGGCATTTATAGGGTCTCTCCCCCTTGTGGTTCCTCTGATGCACGATAAGGTGGGAGCTGTGAACAAAGCTTGTCCCGCACTCGCTGCATTTATAGGGTCTCTCTTTGGTGTGGATTCGCTGATGCACCACAAGGTGCAAGCGCTGATTGAAGCTTTTCCCACATTCAAGGCACTATCAGTTTTTCTCCCATGTGGATCCGCCGGTGCGCAACAAGGTGTGCGTTCTTAAGGAAGCTTTTCCCACATTCGGCGCATGTGTTTTTTCTCTCTCTCATGGAAATTCTCTGCTGGGCAGGGGGTTTCTTGAGCTCCTGGCCTCCTCCCACACCATGAATTGCTTCACCCACTTTTTCCCCAGGCTCATTTCCCTGCAGCCTCTTTGACCCGCACTGACTCTCCCAGGTTTTCCCCTGCACAGAACTCCAGCAAACATTCCCTTCAGATCTTTCCGATAACGCCCCCTGCAGTTCCATTTGGTCAAGACCTTCCCGCTGAGGTTTGGTCTCACCCGCCACCCCATCACCTGAAAGGACGGAGAGACAAGAGAGAACCCGGAGGTGAGTTATTCCCTGTGCTGGGGAAGAGGAGGAACAGCAAAGAGAGCAAACCCAACACAATAACTTTTTGGGGAGATTGAGAAACCTGGGATAGATATTTCCCCTGGGCCCAGGAGAATCAAGGATGCTGAACTGACAGAGACAGGGTTTTGAGAGATTCTGGACCATTAACGTCTGTAAACTCCCTGAGCACTCAATGTTCTCATGGGTCCAACTGGCACCTGGTTAGCCAGTTGACTCATAGGCTTCTCTTCTCAAATGCAGGTTGTTTTAATCATTAGATAGATTAGGTTGTGAGCGGCTTGGAGCAGAGACTGTCCTTCATGAAGGCTTGGTAAGCACCCAGAAGGCACGAGCGTAAACACACAGTATAAGTAATCAACACATCTCCTGCTTACGTGGCGGGGCAGGGGGAGGGTGCGTGGAAATGAAAGTCTCTCTCACCCTGGATCTGGGGATCTTGGGATCCAGTCCCCTGAAATCTAACAGACTAGGGAAGAACCTGAGCAGAAAAAATGGCCAAATCACAGATGCCACAGCTTCTAATAACCGAGGGGACGGGAATCCCTTACCCAGCGAGAGTTCTCAGAGTTCTCCTGAATGACGTCCCTATGGAGGGCTCTCTGACCGGGGTCCAGCAGAGCCCCCTGCCCCCTCAGTGAAACACAAAGCCACCTTCTCGAAGGCCACCAAACTCTGAAACGACAAAAATCCCCGCTTGCCGTCTGCTGCCTCAGCCACAATCCTGCCAGTCACAGGGGGGACAGGGGGAAGAAAATAAAAACTCGATGCTCAGGGAAGACAGACTAGCAGGATCCCAACCCGACGCTGCTGTGAGTGGGGAGAAAGAGAGAGCTCCCTGTCCCACCCAGCACATGGAGGAGGCAGGGGCCTTCCCGTTTACCACACAACTACTAGCCAGGGGCTAATATGGGAGATAGAGCCACAGAGCAGGGTCCTGGGTTGGAGGGATAGCTCAGTGGTTTGAGCATTGGCCTGCTAAACCCAGGGTTTTGAGTTCAATCCTTGAGATAGCCATTTAGGGATCTGGGGCAAAAATTGGAGACTGGCCCTGTTTTAAGCAGGGGGTTGGATTAGATGACCTCCTGAGGTCCTTTCCAACCCTGATATTCTATGATGACAGGAATCCCAACACCCTCCCCATTCCCAGAAGCTGGTTGGAAAAAATAGGCCTGACGGCTGGGTACGGGATACTGGGCTAGATGGACCTTGGGTCTGACCCACTATGGCCATTCTTATGTTATTTTGCAGCCCACCAGGGCACCTCGGGAGGTTGCAAAAGCAGCCTGAGTCCATGTCACACCCCGACCCCTGGGTTGCTTTATCCCACCAAAGAGCAGAATCAAAGGGGACGCACTGGGGGGATCCCACCCAATGTTCCCTCTAATTTTTGAGAGGCCGTGTGCACAAAAAAATTCTTCTGCGCAAACTTTTGTGAGCGCGGGGTTTAGGATCTGTGTGCGAGCGCACACGCCACAGCTCAGAGGGAACAGTGATCCCACCCTGGCAGCCCCCGGGGACTCAGGCGGGCCAGGACCTGGCTTTTCCTCTCCCGGCTCCTCACCTTGTTCCCAGGAAAGTCCGCTCTGCCTGGGGTGCTGCAGTGAATGGATCTGGGCAGAGCTGGGAACTTTGAACCGCTTCCAATCCCCCCCCCCCCCCCCGCGCTTCTTTTCCGCCTCCTTCCCCTTCTTCCTCCGCCTGAGAGATCTGGATCGGATCCGGATCGGATCCGGATCGAGTCCGGTGAGCGCTAACCGGAGTCAGAGCCTGCGCCTCTCCCTGGGGGTGGGTGAGCTCTGGGACTCGCACACACGCGGGGAGCACAGACGGGGCCGCTTCTGCAGAGTCACTGTCCTGCCCGGCCCCGGCCCTTTCCCCCGGATCCCCCCATCACCTGCGGGCTCCGGCTCGGGGGCTGGTGCGGGCCGAGCCGGGGGCGGAGCGGGGGGTTAGTGCCGGTCTCTCCCCGCCGGCCCCGGCTCACAATGGAAGCAGCACCTGACCCAGGAAATTCAATCGTAGGGGTCTGATATCCTGAGCAGAGAGAGACAGACACCAGCCTCCTCCCCCCGAGCCAAACCCAGAGCCCTCTGGTGGCAAGGCGAAAGCACCAGCTTTCCCGGGCTTCCCCCTTTCCCCTCCCCAGGAAAGACAAGCAGACCCTCTGAGTCCCTCCCCACCGGCCCTTGCAGTGACTCTGGCTACTGAATCCTAAGCAGGGCTTCATTTGGGCCAGGGACTGCCGGGCCTGAGCGCTGGCACCTCTAGGCAGGGCAATTCAGAGCCCCAGGAACTCTGGCCCAGGCAGTTCAGAGCCCCGGCACCTCTGGGCTTGGCCGTTCATAGCCCCGGCCCATCTGGGCCTGGCTTTTCATAACCCCAGCAGCTCTGAGCCTGACAGTTCAGAGCCCCGGCACCTCTGGGCTGGGCAGTTCAGAGCCCCGGCACCTCTTGTGGGTCGGTTGTGGTCCGCCTTGCCTGGCATTTGCTGACCCTGCAGTAACCCAAAGCCAGTTAGTGCAAATAATGGCTCAGATCAGCCCTGGGTGTTAATACGTTGGGTTATTTTTGAAGCCAGATCCCCAGCTGGTGTAGATCAGGCCCTGTGGAGGGGTGGGGGGTTGCAACACACACACATTATGCACAGATTAAGGGTGTAGCCAGAATCTGCAGCACCTTCAGCCAGCAGGATCGGGGTAACCCAGCAGACAGGATGTAAGCCGGAAACATGGTTCCCTGTTGGGGGGTGGGGTTCTTACCTTCACTCCAACCAGTGCCCTCTCTGGCCTGGGGTCCTCGGCTTTTGTGGAACAGAACCTCTGTCTTCCCAGTATGGGATGTCCTGGGGTCTCTGCACTGAGAGAGTCTCTTGTGGGAGTAGCAGGAATGTTACTCCTCCATATTCACCTCTCCCAGCTGCAGCAGCCAGGGAAGCTCCGGGGTCCCCAGCCGCCAGGGCTCTGGGCTCTTGCAAAGGGACAATGCAGGGAAACAGGAATTCACCCAGCAACCAAGCGTTACTGTAGCCAGTGCAATTCACTTCCTGCTGGAGGGGATCTGGTTCTTGACATGGGCTGTGGGGTGGGATTCCCTGGGCAGGTCCTTGTAGTTAAAGGGCAGAGAGAAGGAATCTGGCTGGGTCCCTCCTGGGTCTGGGATGGGGAGGGTTCATCAGCTGTGGTCCTTTTTTTTGCGGGGGGGGGGGGAGAGGGGCGTATAGTTGCCTATATAAGACAAAGCCCCTAAGATGGGGACGGCTGGTCCCCTTTGGCTGAGGATTCCCAGTAAATACTGCTGAAGCTGGGGAAGCCGCTGCCCTGCCTTGGGATGGCCATGAGCTTCCCGCTGGTCTCAGGGGCTAAAAGGGGGCAGATGGAGGGGGAGGGATGGGCAGAGTCTGCATCAGGCCCAAACTGACTGCACAGGTGGAGTGAACAGCTGGAGGCAGGGGAAGGAGAGAGGGCAAAATCAGGGGCATGGGGTAGGAGTCAGGGTAGAGGCACTTCCAGGCAGTGGCAGAGGGGGGAAAACCCGCCCCCACCATTGGTTACACTTTTGAGTACCTTATTTTTATGGCGTTTGTAGCCCATTTCACGACTTCGATGCACGATTTGCAGACATGACTCCTCCCTGTCATATAAACCGATACATTTGCACACTAGGGTCTGTAAATCTGCGTGCCTGGCCCCCTGCAAGCTCGGCACCCTAGCTGTTCGCCTGCCCCTAAATCTGGCCCCGTATGAAAGAGGAGCCAGCTGCAGTGGTTTCAAAAATAGGGGGCAGAGGGGCTTTTTCTTCCCCTCCCCCAGGCATCTCAGCACCCGCTTCCCAGGGATGTTTTCAAAACAGCACCAGTGCATCCCATTGCCAGCTCTTTTGTATTGGATATGATGGACCAAGCTGCTAAAAGAGGCTTGATTCAATGAAATATCTGACATCTACTCCCTCCAAAAAACCCTATTATTGTCATACATATTTTTGGTGTTTGAAAGACTCATCAGCTGCGTCTGCATAAAGCCTCAAACCAGGTCACACATTTGTCTTATTTAGTGTTCTCTGAGGGCTTGAATTGCACTGTAGGGTTGCCAAGTTTGGGTGGACGGATTCCTGGAGGTTTCATCACATGACGTAATCTTTAACTCAAGATTCCTCTTTAATTCCTGGTGACTCCAGGACAATCCTGGAGAGTTGGCCACCCTCCTGGATTCCCTTTCATGTAAGCCACTGCAAATGGAGTTTCATTATTTATTTAAAATTATTATTTGTATTACTCTCAGCACGTCATCATTCACCTTCGGTAACACTGTGCAGACAGATGTCGCCGCGCTCTTTGTTACATATTCTTAATAGCAACTAAACAATGAAACTCTTAATAGTTGCTCACAACTTCAGCCATCACAAATTACAGTGTATCTAGTGTAATGTTTAATTGCAATATTATAATTTAGTTTGTCATGTTTAGTTTCATTTCATGGAGGAGAGGTCCATCGATGGCTGTGAGCCAGGATAGTCAGGGAGGGTGTCCCTAGCTTCTGTTTGCCAGAAGCTGGGAATGGGTGACAATGGATGGATCACTTGATGATTCCCTGTTCTGTTCATTCGCTCTGGGGCACCTGGCATTGCTCACTGTCGGAAGACAGGATACTGGGCTAGATGGACCTTTGGTCTGAGCCAGTATGGTTGTTCTTATGTTCAATTTTTTTATAACGCAAGTTTATTCCTTGGGCTAAAAGTTACAAGGTGGGCACCATCACTTCCTCCTGCAGCTGTTTTGTGTATAGTTAGGTGCCTGCCTAGCTCATTCTCACAAGAAGCAGTTCAGGCACTTACCTCCCCTGATTCCAGGAGAAGATTCCTGTTCGTGGCTCGCCAGGTAGAGCTAGGTGCCTATCTGCAGCGGGGACTTAGGCACTGAGCTCTGTGGTAGGGTGGATCTTAGCAC